CAGAATATTGATATTTATAGCCAAATATTTAATCATTTCATATGATTACCTTATATGGGTGCGCGTTATTTCGGGACACGCATGAGCATTATTTCGAAACCATCTATGGTATTTTTAGGATATACGATTTTCGAATTAACGCTCATGAGCATTATTACGCGAAAATACGGTAGATCTAAAAAATGATAATCATACAAAAAAAAAAAAATCTTTCGCTGGTACAGTAACTCTCTTTCCAGTGCCATACTTTTTTTTTTAAAAAAAAAGACTTTTTATACTTTGTCACTGTAATACGTATTTTGAAGCTGTACCCACCTTGTAATGCCAAAGTCAAAGCATAAAGTGAACAAACCCGGTGATGTGAAGATGAACGCCATTTCATCTGGGACCAATAATGCAATGAACAAAGCCATTCCAACCATGATCATAGAAACTAGAGCCGGTAAAGCAAAAAGAAAAGCTGTTTCAGACATGGTCAGTAATGAAGATGTAAACTTGGACAGTAATGTTGGGTCAATTGTGACCTGTAATGATGAAATTGAAGTCAGTAGTTCTAATGGACCTACTTCAACTAAGAGTAATAAGGTATTTTTTTTTTGTTGAATTTCTATTGTATGCAAACAAAAAAAAAAAAAATACTAATATGAAACTTCAGCGGGTTAGGTATACAGAACCTACCTTGGAGGAACTTGAAACCGTTTGTGGGAACTCAAGAGTATAATCGATGCATAAGGCAACGGAAGTTTGGATCAAAGCTCTTGAAGAGTTTCGTTCCGATATTGGTTACAAAGGTAAAATTGAAGATGTCGATTCGAAAGAAGTCCTTGAAGATCAGCTGTCAAGATTTGTGTGAGCTATGAAGCGAAAAGATGGCTGTGAATACCATGCGTCCTCGATCCGTAACTGTATGGCTGTGATTTGGCGGCACTTGAACCAACATTCGGTGATGCTGAAGTCCGTAGAGATCCTTAACCCAAAGGTATATTTTGATTTGAATGCCATTGTGAATGGTAAACTAAAAAATTTATCAGCGAAAGGTTTAGGCGAACATGCTGGTTCTGATGGGTTGACCTTGCAAGAAGTTGAGCAAGTTCTCTCCCACCATGCTTTGCAACGTGATAATCCAGAAGGACTGTTGTGGCATATGTTTTTTTATAATTCAATTCTTTTGGCTCTGCGGGGTGGTGAACATCATGACCTTCAGATAAATAGCTTTGTAAAAAGATTCGATGGAGGAATCGACATGAAATTGTATAGATCGAAAACGATTCAACGAGGACTTGGTGATTATGACGGTCAAGCTAAGGTCATTAGCTTACCAAACATCAAAAGTATAATTGATGATTATGAGCTCTATTTCAGTAAACGTCCAGTTACAGAGATGACAAATTTTTATCTAAAACCCGTTCCAGCAAACTCAGGTAATATCTATTTTAATTTTGACATTTTTTTTTGTTTCTTTACTAATATATTTTTTCTTTATATTAGTTGAATTTGGCGGCCAATGGTTCTATAAGCAAGCAGTGGGTGAAAAAAAATTATGATCATACTTTCGGGTTATCTGTGAATCTACAGATATAAAATTTGGTGGTCGTAACTTGTCAAACCACTCAGGAAGAAAAACAGCGGTTCAAGTAATGAAGGAACTTGGCTATTCTGACGTTGTCGTTATGTCAATTACAAGGCATAAGTCACAGAAAGGTCTGGCTGCATACGAACGACCAAAATCAATCATGCAACAAGAGGGCCTTAACGGATTTTTAAGGGCATTGACGCTTGTAAATAAAGACGAAGGATCGCTTAAAGGTATTTATTCAATTTCGATTTTAATTTTTTTGCGCAAAAATTCTATTTATTACATTTTTTTTTCTTGATTTTTAGAAAATGAACCTAAATTAGGTGGTGATTTTGTTCCGGCAAGTTCTTTGGTAAAAAGGATGAGTTCACTAGTATCACTTGTAAGTGGTATTGATAAGCTTGAAGTATCGCCAATTGACGACTATGAATCACCGAGAGCAACCATCAATTATGAATCACCAGGAGCAACCACCACCGTTGAATCACTAGGAGCAACCACCACCATTGAATCACCAGAAGCAACCATCGTTGAATCACCAGGAGCAACCACCATTGAATCACCAGGTCGAAATGTGTTGGGTGAAATTGAACGTCAAAATATTCACCAGGAAAATATATAAAATGAAGAAGGTCGAAAGGAATTTATGGAAAAATTCCTTACTGGAAATATATTTAACAATTGTGTTTTTCATTTTTAATTTCCTAAAAATGTAAAATGAAAATTAGTATTGTAATAAAAATTAGTATTGCAATAAAAAAAATAATAATAAATACAATTACTTAGCTTCATATATTTTTCAAATTGTTTGTAATATTTGTGCAAATCATGAATATTCGGCATTATGTCATAATTTTGCCAAAAATATCAAGACGTTGCTACGCCATGATCATATGAGTTTGCCAGATAATATACAGTAATTACTAGTAATAAACGTACATACGTACGTACATATATCAGATAGTAATAGCGTGACTACCAATTGTACAATTTTTTTTTTCTTTCCCGTTCGTTAGTATCGGTATTTGCTATCGATATTTTGACAAAAATATAAGTTGGTCTTTATGTTAATAATGCAAGTAAAAAGAAAATACAATTAACAAATGATTACAAATCTCTCGTTATATCTATTGGACTGAGTATATCGAGATAACACTATAAAAAGTCAGTTTCAGACGTAAAAAAAGTTTGCTACAAAAAAATTACTTTAGAACATAATTATTTATACTGAACTAATATAAATTTTAAATTTTTATTACAAATCTAGAGTTCATTATGGAGATGTTTGTTATAAAGAGAGTTGATTCTATATCTAGTTTAATAATTCTGTACCGAATCATTACTATGTCAAAAGATCGGTTCTTCCCGTTATTTAAACGTGAATATATTTTAGAATTACATAATCATTATTATAATATCAATTTCATTTGTGGTAATTTATTTATGAATGAGGTTCGTTTATAAATCCATTTACACCGAAGTTTCCAAACGAAATTTTAAAAATATAAAGAACTGTAAAATTATATGTTATGTTTTGGAAAATGTAGATTTTGTACAATATTTTATTATTATATGTTATGTTTTGGAAAATGTAGATTTTGTACAATATTTTATTATTCAATGTCATTTTAATTTATTCGTGATTATTTTCTTAATTAAGTAATCAAGTTTATTTTTGAAGTATGCTTAACTATTTATCCTAGACTAATGGTACTGTATGTAATAGGTTGTTTCCTAAAAAGCTAAGTCCTTTTAAGAAAAAAAATAATAAATCAAAAAGTGATACTCAACAAAAAAAAAAGGATTTATAAAGTACAAAAAACAATATATAATTCGAAAAATGGTTAAACAATTTAAATTTCCTGGAGATTTATAAGGTCAGAAAATAACATGTGACTGCGTCGATAACACTAGGAATTTTCATATAGTATCTAGAATGTGCGAATGCATATTTTTTGGCTCTGCATTGCATAATGCAGTGTAATGCAGCATAATGCAGCATGCGACATTATACAGGTAAGAAATCATAGGGAGACATTCGTCTGATTGGCTAATGTAAATCAATTGCCTAGGTAACTTATTTATGCACTTTAAAGTACTTTTTGGGAATACAATGTTTCACTAATAAATTCGCTACAAAAGTCATTTTTCACTTCGAAAGAATGTTTATATTTACTACACAAAAATAATCAAAAATAATCAGTAACCTCAAGAACTTTACTTAGAAGACAAAGTATGTCTACCATTTATTGGACAATATTGTAGAGTGAAAGTAACTGGAAATATTTTTGTCTAAAACTACTTTATTACGTTAGATTTAGATAAACTTTTACTTCTAGCTGTTTAATTTGAATAGGTACAAGCTTTTAATAGTAGAAGAGCCAGGTTCAATATTTCAATTTAGTTTGTTCTTGTAGTATATTTGGGTTTGTCAACCGAATATTAGTAGTTAAAATTTTGTACTGTTACAGTGATACTTAAATTATAAGACAATATTCACAGTTATAGAATAGTTTATTTAGTAATAAGATAGTACAAATAAGTTACACAAATAATACAGATAGTACAGATAATACAGGTAATACAATTCACATTAAAAGGGGGAGCACAGATATTAGATAGCCAATCTAATATCCAAGGAAAGGTAGGAATTGTAGGGAAGATATCTGCAGGAACTAAGGGGGAAAACCTCCCTTTATATATCTGTAGAAGTGGTATACACTAGCATACATCCAAGTGGCATATACTGGCATACACCATGTAGCAGATGGTATACACTGGCATACAACCATGTAGCAGGTGGCATATACTGGCATACAACCATATAGCAGATAGCATATACTGGCATACAGTACAACTATATGGCAGGTAGTATATATTGGCATACAGCATATACTGGCATATAGCATACAGTGGCATATGGCACACACTGGTCTATGGCATATAATGGCATACGACACACACTAGTATACGGCATACAGTGGCATATGGCACACACTGGCATACATTTCTAACTATTCTATTCTAATGAAATATATCTAAATAATATAATTTAACTAATGTAAAATATAAAAGATAAAATACAAAATATAATATATAATATGAAATACTATTCTACGACTAATTTGTATAACATTACAACTACTAGTGTAACAATATAAATGTCAAAATTTTCAGTTTTTCCATGTAAAACTTTTTTCTTGCTTAGGTAACCTGTTCTGACCACTTAAGCAAATTTGTTTAGCACATAATTCTATGTATTTTATATTTCGCCAATTTTGGTTTTTTGAACTTTTTACTAAGTGAAAGTTTGGATTAAATATTACACAAAAAAAAATTAAATAAATTTTTTTTGTATAACATTTAATCCAAACTTTTACTTAGTAAAAAGTTCAAAAAACCAAAATCAGTGAAATATAAAATATGTAAAATTATATGCTGAACAAATTTGTTTAAGTGGTCAAAACAGGTTATCTAAGCAGAAAAAAGTTTTATATAGAAAAACTGAAAATTTTGACATTTGTATATAGCAAACTTTTTATTTTATTTAAATAACCTATCTTTTTCTTCTAACTGAGTTTGTTCAACATAAAATTTTACATATAATCATTACTTTAAAATTAAAAAAAGTTTTCTTTTTATAAAATTTTATTAAGGAAATACACAATTTTTACAAAATTTTAAAAAAGCATTCTAAATAAACTTAATTGATGATTCACCAGTCAATTAGAGAAGATCTGCAAATTTTTATAAGTAAATGTTATTATTGAGCTATATGTGGAGTACACCAAGCTAAAACTTTTTTTCTTACTAAGTAAATCATTCATGAGCTTTTAATAAAATTTGTAGAGCTTATTAAATATATCTAATGGTGATAAGAACATTAAAATTGGTCTAGTAGTTTTTGAGAAATCTTTAAAAAACAGTTCACCAACATATAAAATTTCTTAATTTTTTTTAAAGAAATTTTATATGTTGGTAAAATGTTTTTTAAAGATTTCTCAAAAACTATTAGGCCAATTTTAATATTTTTATTACTATTAGATACATCTTAATGAGCTCTACAAATTTTATTAAAAGCATAAGAATAATTTACTTAGTAAGAAAAAAAGTTTTAGATTGGTGCACTCCACATTTAGCTCAATAGTAAAATTTATAAAAATTTGCAAATCTTCTTTGGTTGACTAGTGAATCATCAATTAATTTACTATTTTCAATATGCTTAACCTCAAAATTTGAAAATAAGTTAATTTGTAAATTGAAAATAATGTGAAGCTTAAAGTTTATAGTAAATTCATATATTTTTATTATAGTTTTTATTATAATTTATCACTTTATATGTCATATTCTCTGACTAATAGAAACTTTGGAGTGAAATTAGTAAATGCTGCACAACTACCTCTAGATTCAGAAATTCTACAGACAGAGTTTAGGAACAGAATAATCACGTAATATTATATAAAATCTATCTACTCTAACCGTTAATTAACTAATTACAACATGACTACGTGATTTTATTCTGTCTCTAAACTCTGTCTGTAGAATTTTCACTCTAGATTGCCACCAAAATTCCACTCATACGTGATCAGAATCTAATTATATTTCAAAATTAGACAATCAGAAAAATTTAAAACAAACGTTCGTTTTGTCAAAATCGTTTATTTCTCAAAAAAATAGCATATGTAACCACTTCTGCGCATTAACAAAAAGTTTTCTTTGAGCGATTTTACTATATATTTCTCTAACTGCCAATCTTAATATTATATTTCCTATATTCCGTTGACTAATTAAGCTAATCTACTTAACTTATTGCGCTAATAGAATTGGTGAAAAATAGTAGAGCAGACCAATTTTTATAAAAAAATTAGAACAATTAGATTGGCTTATTAGATAAATTTGAGCATATATAGGATGCGGACAATAGAAACAGCCCATTTTTACATTTAACTTATTTTGAGATAATAGCATTGAAGAAGTTCGTTTTGATTGGCTAAAATTAGAATAAATATGATTGGCAACGATCTTTTTTTTTATACAGTCAATTGTAATTTTTTAGAGTACTTTTATAAGTAAAGATCATCACGATATATGAAAATTTTTTTTTATTATATATAAATACAACAACCGGCATAATATTCTATTTTTTTAGCTGTAAAGCTAGTGTTTTTTAACTTGAGATACAATGAGATACACTAGATTAGAAAAGTAAATGAGAAACAAAAGTTTTAC